AAAAAAAAAAAAAAAAAAAAAAAAGAGAGAGAGAGAAAAAAACCTCGGCACATGGCAGTAGCTGTAACAAGCACAAATCAAATAAAGAGGATTGTAACACGGACTCTAAACGTCGCCAAGTTTGCGCCTCCAGGCCGGACCCTGACACTGAGGCTCATTAGCTCCATTCAGGCCAGCCAAGAGCGGCTCTCCCCGCTGGGGGGCTGGGAGCCGCTGCTCGAGCTTTCCATACAGTATGGCGGCTCCCGGGTCCGCCGCGCGGGGCAAAGTATTCCGTACAACAGGGCCGCCTACTGAGCGGGAGTCACGCCCCCTTCCGCCTGGCCACCGGAAGTTTCCATTTAAAACCGAGGCGGCAGCGCTAACTTGTACTTTGGCGGTTGCCGAGAGTGTTTTGAATTTGAGCAACAAGGATTGCGGACCGGAGCGGTAGGTCCCTGGGTTGGGCTCTCCCAGGGAGAGGCCTGGCTGGGAGCGAAGGAGTCTTTTATTCCATCTGAAGCCCGCTGCCCCGCGCTGTAACATCTCGCATCCTCCAGGGCCCAGCCGTGCCCCGTCACCATGACTAGTGTGGCGAAGACCGTGGACAGCGCGCAGCAGCCGGCTGCGCCCAGCAGCGGCCCGCCCACAGGTGAGAGTCCCCTCCGCTGTCTCCTCCTCGCCCTCGGACCCGCCTCGCGTGCCTGGCATTTTACCCGAGGCTGGGGTTTCCTTCTGCCCTGACTACCTGCTGGACCGTGGAACGGCACTTCCACACGCCTGTGATCACTCACCGGTTCGGTTCAGGTTACCGGTTGTTGTGCAATAGTATTCTCACTAAGCCAGGAACTGCCTTTTATTCTGTTGCCATTTTGTTTCTGGACTCTGGCTGTCTTGCAGGTCAGAGTCTATTGTCTAGAAGGAGAGTCATTTGACAAGTGAGGTACATGTGAGCAAGTGGTGACGTTGCCTTGTTGACCTTGGTGTCTGCAGTGACTTACTTCTACATTCTCAGTAACTGCTGAGGGAAGTGGGAGAGGGGTCAGGCCTAGCCAGACCCTTTGAGAACCTGGAAGAAGAGAGAAATTCGACAAAAGCCTGATTTTTAATTGCTTCGCCAGTCTTCATGTTTTGCTTGTGGCTGAAGTCATCTCCTAGGGTTTGCAGTGCTTGTGCTGCCTAACCTAGAGATTAGAGTGTAGAATACGCTCAGTCACCCGAACACTGTTGTGGGGGATTATGGGGCAGCTGTTCATGATCCCTTCCCAGGTGATTCCATGCAGCTCCTCGATGAGCAGGGGGCAGGACTGATCTCTAAAATGAACAGTCTTTTCTCCCAAGGCTTCAAGGGAGGTTGCTTCAAAACACCTGAATGGCATCCTGGCATCAGGAGGGACCAGGCATTGCTGGAGGGCTGCAGCTGGGTCTCCCCATGCAGCTGTTGCCTTTCCCTCCTCTGTAGTACCCCTGGTGAGCCCACTGTGACTGGCTGTCCCAGTCGACTTGCTGGTTTCAGCTCTGCTTTCCAATGCCTGACCCAGCTTTATGACGTAACTGCAACACTTTACATTTTGGGACTGTCTGCTAGCCAAAATACTGCTTTAATTTTGGAGCATGGATGGATTGGTTTTGGTTTTTGAATAGGCTATATATGTATATGTTTTTTAAAAAAGAAAATGAAGCCAGGTGTACTTGTGCATATGTGATCTCAGTAGAGGCTGAGGCAAGAGGATTGCTGTGAGTTCAAGTCCAGCCTGGACTATATAGTGAGACCCAAACAAAATCTGGCACAAGCCTGTAATACTAGCACTTGGGAGGCTGAGCAGGATGGTTGTGGGGAATTCTGAGGCCAGCCTGGGCTCCATAGTGAGCTCAAGCCAGCCTGAACTACATAGTGAGACCCTGTCTCCAGAAAAAAAAAAAAGTTAGAAAATAATATACAGTGAAAAGTAAGTTTCCTTCCCTTCCTCAACACCAGCCATCCAGTTCCCCTCCTTTGTGTCTCCTACTTTTAGGAGTCTTTGTTAAATCCTGCCAAATTTTTCCTAAAATGTAAACCTTAGGTTCAAGCAAACATGGATTGTTGGAACCAATTGTAGTCAAGGAAGTGTTAGGTTTTTTGTGTTTTTTTTGTATTAAATTCTTTTATTGGTACATTGTAGGTATACAACACAGTTACATTTCTCATTGGGAATTGTACCTTTACATGATGCATCTTGGTTCTTATTTTTTCCCCATTCCAACCCCCCCCTCCACCCCCCCAACCCTCCCTATTTACAAAGACTTTATTTCCATTTTTTCCATTTCTCATCATTTTTCCTTTCCCTTCTTTCCTTTCCCCTGCCCCTCCCACTACCCCTACCCCTTTGGACCTTTTCTTCCTATTTTACATTATCGATTATTCATTCTAATCATTGGTACATTTTAGGTATACAATATAATGACATTCATCATTGGAAATTTGCACCTTTACATAGCCTCTCTTGGTTCTTGTTTTTCACCCTTGCCCAGCCCTCCCTTCAACCCCTCCATTCCTCCCTATTTACAAAGATTTTGTTCCTCTTTTTCCATTTTCTCATATTAATCCCACTCCCTTCTATTCTTTCCCCTAGCCCTCCCACTTCCTTCCCCTTTGCCCCTTTTCTTCCTATTTCACATTACCTATTATACATTTAGTTCTTATTTGGAAGTGTTAATTTTTAAAAATTTACTATTAGCCAGGTGTGGTGGCCCAGTCTATAATCCCAGCACTCAGGAGGCTGAGGCAGGAGGATCACTGTGAGTTTGAGACCAGCCTGGGCTACATAGTGAGTTTGAGGCCAGCCTAAACTACAATAGCAAGACCCTGTCCTAAAAAGCCTAAATAAATAAATAAATACAAATACAAAATTTCCTATCTGTATGATCTAGCACTTTGTACCTTATTTTTTCAACTTGATTTAATGTATGGCTCTTCATTTAGCCAAGCTTAAAGGGGCCATTTTACAGTGAACATAGTGAAGTGAATATAATCCAGGAAAACTAGGACCGGGGGTATAACTGAATGGCAGAGGACTTGTCCAGCATGAGCAAGGCTCTGGATTTGATCAAAAAAGCAAACCCTGTGTGTCGAGGGGGTTAGTCTTAATTCCTGCCTTGGTACACACCTAAATTTGCCAGGGACTACAGTACACCTAAATGGCGGGTAGTATGTGTGGGGGCTGGCAGAAAGATGGGGGGGACTTGGTTTTTTTTTTTTTTTTTTTTTCTTAAAGAGACAGAGTCTTGCTACTTCACTTAAATGGGTCCGCCTCCCAGAGTGCTGGGATTATAGACCTGCACCACTACACTCAGCTAAGAAAATGCTTTTTTGGCTGGGGATTTAACTCAGTGGCACCACGCCTGCCTCATAAGCACAAGAACCTGAGTTCAATCCTTGGTACCAAAAGAAAATGCTTTTTTGGGGGAAGAAGTGTATTGTCTTACGGCCATTTCATGGTTATCTGGCCCTGCCCTAGCAAGGACACCAGAAAGAATGCCAAATAGGGAACCTCTAAAGTTGCTGAGTGTGGTGATACAATCTTTTTTTTTTTTTTTTTTTTTTGACTGGGGATGGAACTCAGGACCTTGTGCTTTCGAGGCAGGCGGCAGAACCACTGAGCTAAATCCCCAGCCCC